AACTCCCCCAAAAAAAAAAAGACCCGCGCAAGCCGGGTGTCGCTCCGCCCGGGGGGTCACGTGCCCACGGGGGAGCCCCCTTCATCCCCGGTCCACATAGCTTGTCTCGATATCGATTGTTGTGAAAACGACACTGTATCCGCTTCCCCGCTATAGTCAAACTAATCTTTTTGTTTTTTTTAATGTTTTTGAGCAGAGTGGGACACAGAGGAGACGATGGCTCTGCTCCGCTGCGATTTTTTGTCAGAAGCATTTCCCCGAACCCCGCGGGTGGGTGCGACACATACAGAGCACGCACACGGAGTCAGGTCAGCACATTACATAATATCTATTCTATATAGTATCTTAATACTCGTACTTTGTTAAATTTGGTGGTAAATAAAAGTGAATGTAAAAATAAATGCAACAAAAAATATGTAGAAAATCTGGGTACATATAAATAGAGAGAAGTATAATACATATATTAGTATTCCATTTTCCATTGTTCTCATAATTCCGGAAAATTCTAGAAGTAGTAAAGTTGAAGCTAAGAGTTGAGTGACAGTTTAACTTTAAGCTAATAAAACTAATGTACCACACACAATGAGATTTACTTCCAAGCTACTGTGAATATTTATTGCAATTATAAATAGTAATTAATCAAATCTAGATCATGTTCTGTTTTAAAATATCTCATCTAGAATAGCAGTTTCTCAATTATTATTGTTTTGCTAAGGCATTGCTTAGTAGTAAGGGATAGTAGTATGAATCCGATTTATATTCGATGTAAAGGACATGAGCTGTGGTGTGTAACGGTCCGTATCTTGCAAGGATGAAAAGCACAGCGCACGCCCTGTTTAATATAATTTCAGACATAATAAAATTAAAACCGCATTACTAACCTTTCCAGTTAATAATTTACTAACAAAGACATTTTCTTCAGATGAAACTAGGACCAATGAAAAGTTCGAAGTAACATATAATATATACCTGTACTAACTCCTAACATAGCTGAAATCTGATTGTTATGTATGTGGCTAATTCTCGACAAACGAACGTCATTGCCATTGCACCGATTTTATTTCATTTTTGCCTTACACCTTCCACCAGCCTTTAACACTTGAGTTTGAAACACGAACTAATCCCGCTACACTCATGATGATCACTTCAGTTATGTTTTAGAGAAAAAAATATGCATTGGAATGTCTCGCTTGCTCGTTAAATGTTTTTTAATTTTCTGGCGTTAAACGAGATGTTCCAAGTTTGTGATTGTCTGCCTACTAAATCCTGTTCTAAATGTCGTTCGATGTCGGTTGTCTAGAATTGGCCTTATCAAACAACAGTGCTCCACCAAAACGTCACAATCGTTTCACAGAGGGCGCGCAAACAAGACTTGCTCGCACTGCAAGAAAACCTTCCCGTCACATGCGTCTATGCTCATTCATATGCGAATGCACACAGGTTAGTTATATCTTCCTTACTTACATATAAAATGAAGTCTCCCGGCCGCGTCTGTCTGTCTGTATGAACGCGATAAACTCAAAAACTACTGAACGAATTTTTATACGGTTTTCACCAATAGTGATAGTAGGTAGGTTTAGGTGTATAATTCATGATGGTTTTATGTAAACTGGGTGAAATATAACGATTATTGTTGAAGATGTCTCAAAAAAACTTATGCTATACAAACCGTGTCAAAAAAGGACCACGGTTACCGAAATCCAGAAGCTGCAGGCGGAAGCTAGTTAAATTATAGTTTTACACCACATATTCATCAGAAACAGAAATCTAATGTTTCTCAATGTTGGAACCTTGTATTGAACAGAGTTTACAATTGGGAATCAAGTGAAATAATTCTGTTTCTTATATACAGACAGATAAGGTATGGACGTGTGTTAGTTTATAACCATAATAATTTTGTAGAACGATGATATGGTTTATTATCAATATAAAAAACCGTATAATCGTAATTATATGAAACTAGACTAAAAAAGGTTTTTGCAAACATCTATCAGACAAACAGGTGACTATCCCCAAAAATCTGTAATAAGAATGTAATGAGAGGCTAGTTAAGAATGATGTTGTATTTCAGGTGTGAACGTCCATTTGTATAGTGGTCTGTGTGTAACAAGATTTTCATGTTAAGTCAAAACTGGTTACAGACATTTACGAACATTACACGACAGATCATTAGTCCAGCTCAAGTCGAAGGAGAGGAAGAAGATGTTGCGCGGGACCTTCAGAGACAAGCGCAGAGTCCTGAGGACGTGGAGGGGGGGCTGGCAGGTAACATTTATAGATTTTATACAATATAAAATATTATGCATATTATCATACATTTGGCTTTATGGTCCTTAATAACATAAGAATTTTATGGGAAGTCAACTTGTACTTTAAGGTCGACGACTTTATCAAAATTAGAATCAATATGCTTAATAAGAATTTGTATACATGATTTTAAAAGGTATTTTTTTGTAAATGACGAGTGTAGTTTTTAAATAATTAACTATGCCTATTTTACCTTCTTGGAGCAAGTTCACTTTTTAACGACATACCTACTACTTACCGACTCGCTTCGACTATCCCAGTTATTGGTATAATAAAGTGTTAGACTATATTGACCCGAAAAGCAAATCTTAAAATGATTGTAAGGTAGTGGTTCCTCCCGCCGCAGGAAGACGGCCGCGGGCGGCGCTCGGCGTACGTGAGCGCGACGGGTCGACGCGAGCCGCACGCGCCGCGCCCAGCGACAAGAAGCGCCCAGAGGCGGACGATCGCCTCGACACACCAACGTGCCGCGCAAGCAGAGCTACTCGCCCTCTTGAAGCAATTCGACGCGGTCTTTGTTCTCCGACAAGAATGGAAACAGTGAGGTACAGCTCACGGCATAGCTATTACGTTAACAAAACTCTTTACCCGAAAAAGAACAAAGAACACAGGCTTTAAGACAGGCTACTGTCATCCTTTTCATTTGCACGACTGGTCTGAAACAACGAACTTTATAGATCAGACAAAATATAATAGTCGAGACATGTATAAACTTCGTTCTCTCAAAAATATAAATTTCGGCACATTTTTCATGATGCTCGGCTCTATGGCCGTAGCGTGATTAGGTAGCCATCAGCCCTTCTCGGTTGAAAGGGGCTATTCATCAGAAAGAAAAATATTTTTTCAATAAAATTTGAACCAGTAATCCGATTAGCGGACGTATCAATAAACTAACAACTCTCTCTGCAGTGACATTACATAAAACAAACATTTCTAATTTTATAACATATTATGTGTCTATTACCAGATAAGAACGCATGAAAGGACAGTGCCAGCCTATATATAGATCTACTGTCCACCGCCACTAATGCAACGCGTTTCATTGTGTTTTCTTTTTGTTTGTGGCATTATAAATTATAATTTACTTGTGTAATAAAATAGCTAAGCGGGTGACCTGTGATTTCCACACCAGTCATGCACACTACCTCATCTAATTTATATTTCAAAGTATTGAGTGACTTCTTAATTTCGTAAGTATTTTTAGTATCTCGACTCATTTAGTCACATATAAGTACTAATGCGTAATATATTACATAGTATTATTGTTCGATTTAAGTGGTCCCCAGTATGGTATCACTTCAGGTATTTCTAATACAGTATGTCATAGTGAAACTTATTACATAACATTTTTAACGTCTAGTAATAGTAAAAATAAAGATACCACACACTGGAAATTGTTAGTTATAATGATCAGAATTTTCACTCGAGTTCTTTTTTAATTCGTAAGTAATTTTGTACTCTCGACTGTCTAGTCACATATAACTTTTTAAGTGGTGCCCTATGAGTATGGTTAGCACTTCAGATGTTTTAATGACAGCTTTCCATATAGAGTTTTTATACACTTATTAAATTCGGACGTAAATTTTAGTTATAATGATCCTAATTCAACCGCAGAGTAACATTATTTGTCAAATTTTTGATTGTCAAAATGATCACAAATCAATACCATATTATTTGATGTAATCCACCGAACATCTACAAGCATCTGCAAGGACTTACTGCAAACTTTTCAAATATAATTTTCCTGTCAGATGCCTATCATACCCTTTAAAATCTAACGAACGTGTGGTTCCTCAATATTGTTTACATATACATATGTACCTAAGTCGGGTTATGATTGTTTAGTAGATATAAGGATGATTAATATATGATGAAGGTGTTGATGATAATTGTAAATGTGAGGTTTAAGTGCAACTTCCATTTGTTAGAAATTATTATTTAATAAACACGCAGTTTATGTACTGTGATACATTTCTATTACTGTTAATTAAAACCTCATGTATACCATGGACATGAAAAATTGAAGGATTTGTATATTGTGGAAAATAAAAAAAAGATGCCGATGTGACATTTGTACTATTTCAAAGATCATGAATGAGACTTACAAAATATATTTATCACATCTTTTCAGCGAAATACAGCAGTGTACGATAGCTTATGAACATGATAATGTTTTAAAAAAATAAAGATCCAGCCAAATGCACAAACAAAACTTTTAAAAATCTTCGAGACGATCCTTCTCACCTTCAATCTTTAGTGCCAAATAGTAAGGATATGGGGACCTTATGTCAGGGATGCGGTACTCAACCACAAGGGAAATCTGCAGCATTGAAGTGACTGTACCTGAGAATATCAAACAACATGAATAGGACTAGGGTCTAATTGTTATTTTTTTACATTCTGCCATCCTAACTGGATGTATAAATGTGTTATTTAAGTAGAATATACTTCACAATATTTTAACAATAATAAAAATACTATACAAATACTGTAGTGCAGTTACCTGTGGGCTAAGTGAGGTTTGCTTTTTTGAAATAATTAAGGAGTGGCAGGCACATGTGAGAGTTACATGTTTACTCCATTCCTCAATCACTATGCCTAATTCCTCTTTAAAGATCTGTTGGAGCAAAGTTTGATGTTAGCTGACCAATGTTCAACTAGCTGAGAATTTCTACTCTGTAATAATGAAGAAAACACATATCACTTAAAGCAGCATTTATCCTAGGAAACTGGATCATATCAGTTTGTGATACACTGTAATACAGTTTCCCTCTATGTGGGAACTAATTGCAAGAAGTTTACATTAGTTGAAAACACAGTAAAATCAGGTGACACATGCACAATATAAGTTATTTTATTGATGACTTGAAAATAATTTATTTTGAAACCTAATAAAAAGGCTTATTATCAGACAAGAAGTTCAATATTTATACAGGCATGTTGTATGTCATTGCATACTTGTATGTCATTAATTAAAATAAGTTTTGTAAGGTACTGCCCTTCCTTTGCGCACTGAATATAACCAGGATCTCGAACTGTGGATAGATCGCGGCAGAATCCTTGCAAAATCGGCGCTCGGTAAAAACGTATGTGCAACCGTACTCTGTTCTCAGGAAATACCTGGAATAAAAACAATAAAATATAGGTGAAACTGATAAATACAATATATTATAACTTATTTTTTTAAAGATTTTACGAAACAAATAAATTAATTTAATTTGAAAAAAAATTATACTCTGTACAATGTGGTTTGTGGCACGTCTTGGTTGACCAGTATGACTCTCAATATACTCTATTTGTCTGTCCTCAAGTATTTAACTTATGATGACTGTAGTTAGAATAGAATAAAACAAACATTTTGATTATGATATTAAAACATTACCTAAATGTTCAAGGTCCAACGTTCGTCATGAGCTTCATCTCATATCGGAACCTTTTCTTGGTTGGATCTCAAACACACAATGTAACTGTATCTGCATTATCTGAGCTTTGATTGTTGACTGTGTCCTTAATCACCCAGCACACTTTCAGAATCTTTGACATACTGTAATGAAAAATATTAATACTAAGTAATGCAGTTTTAAATTAAATTCATCCATTAAGGGTTTTGAAACAGACATAGTTTGTTGAAATTATTTGTTCACCGATTCTATTGTTTATTTCAATGGTTTTAAACAGAAGAGTAAGTAGCAGATGTAGGTAAACGTAAGGGACAAACCAGTCATAAATTTATGATGATGACACTAACAATTGATAGTAGTTAACGATAGGGATCCAATTCCACATGAAGCCAGTTTGAGATACTTAACTGTAAAGTTTAAGTCGTAAGTTTCTATGCATGCCGGTTACAGAAATTTGTGGGTGTTATTTAAAATTAGCAGGAATCTTGTTATATCTTTAACTATGAAATCATAATCACTAAGTTCTGATTTCATATTTTCATAATATTCAGAAATAGGGCTTGAGATCCTTTTGATATATAGTATTCTCAATAAGACCAGCATAAAATGAGATAGTTTCGCAGTAAAGCTCCAGTTCATCAACTGCTAACGAAATCTTAAAAAATAAATAAATAAACTAATAAATCACTAAAACATGTAGATATTCTAATAAACATACATATCAATTTAAAAAAAAAACCAAACATACATAAAAAAAAAGAGATCAATACTGGTGATAACAAATTAAAACTGTAACCAAAACAAAACTCTACAGAGTCATTAATTATCATGTCATTCTGCCGGACTTCATTTCAATACTGACAATAAAGATGACCGCTGAATTCTTCGCGATCTCCTCCTATATTTTTATCCCCCTGAAGAGACTTGTACAAGTCTAAACAGTCTCTTCGAATGAAGTGGACATGACCTTCAGACCATCCAGTTTAGGTTGAAGCGATTTTTTTTTTTTGCCTGTAAGGCCAAAACATGATAAAGTCTGTTATCAGAAAAAAAACTAAAGCTTCTTCTGTATATTGAAGGTCATAATACTGGTCATTGATTTATTTCAACTCTTCAATATAAAAATCAATATATTTCGTTTCTTTCTTTAATGAAATTCACTTTTGTTGTAGCACTTAGTTTTATGCTGTTCTGTAAAAGTTTTTCTGTTTACTATTATTTTTCCAAATTTTTCGCCTTAGGAAGTCTTCTTTAAACACATTGTTATAACATCGAGCGGGGATTCTTTCTTTTGGAACTGGCTTGCATATACTGCATGGATTGCATTAAATCGTCAGCAGTTGTGTAAATTTCGTTGATGAAATTTTAAATGGCTTTCAATTTTGGAAAAAAAATCAAGATCATTGGGCAGGAAGTATGACCTGATTCAAGGTATTTGAAATCTATTAGTACTAAAGGGAGTATGGTGCGAGTTTGTTTAACACTACTTCAACAATTACGATTTTATATTGCGTTTTGATCCGCCACAGCAATCAGGCCATATCACTAGTAAGTGTCTTACTTTTGGCCGTCAAGTTTGTTCTTTATGAAATTGATCACACATGACCGACTTACTGGGGCCCCTCGACCAGGCTTTACTTCGATACATATATAGCAATCGTTAGAGCGAGGATCCAAAGTTATACACCCCCTAGCAAGTTGCCTTTTATAAAAAATAATGAATGGTTGGTATACGTGGGAGTGGAAGTGGTTTTTTCTACAGTCGAAATGTAAGCATTCAATTCTCGTAAGTTTTTGCATGTGCTATAGTCGCGTGAATATATTTTCTCAAATCTTCTTGCTTTTTAGGGGAATTCTTTTTCATGTGAACTTTTCTTCCCTTCATCTAACAACAATTTTATTTATTAGTGAAAAGTATCACACCTTGTTGCAAGTATCTTTTTTAGGGTCTTGCAAGCGCTAATACGTCAAGTAAGTTAAATGTCATACGTATAAATCTTTCGCCTGTGTTCCTCTTGCTATAATGCGATGCACTGATTATTTAGGTAATGATTTATGAATCCGTAAGAACTCACTATCGTACTGGCTGAAGTTTATCCAACACCTTGTGAAAAGTCCTCTTCTGCCTTTAATCATGTACCCATTTCGATTCTTTCGTAGAGAAAACATCAATTTTTTAGTGTTATTTCGAAAATTATTCAAAAAATGGGTCTACATAAACACTTCTAACCCCAAATATAGTGTCATTTTTGTATTGTATTTCTTGAGTTCTTGGGTTTTTTCGTAATTTGTTGTATTGTCTTTAGGACTGTATAAGATCTTTTTTCGGTCTTTCTTCTACATTATTTACGATATATATTAATGGGAGTCAATAAGAACCCAATAAAAGCAAAATTTTTTTTGGATTCTTCTATCTCTTTTTTCTCTTGTAATTACACTGGTACATGTTTGATATTACAGGTAAAATCTTGAAATTTTTGGCGGAGTATATGTTTCTTTGATATAATATGGTAAGTCTAAATATTTCGTTGTTTAGTTTGAGCAACAGTGTGATTTGGATATATTCATTTTCTACTTTTTTTGGTAGGACCTTCGGAAGATAAATTCTTCTTATTTCTTGTTGTGTAGTAGCTATTCATTTCGAGAAGTTTCATTTATCGAGTTTACATTTCTATCATATCAATAGTTATCGATAACTTCAACATTGGTATTAATGATCGTCAGCCGTGTGCGTGATATGTAATTAACAATTCTTGTTTATATGTTGAACTTATGCACTAAGCCAGTTGTCTCGTTATGAACCTAAGTCTTCTTCATCCACTCGTAATTTTCGTCCCTAGTTGGTATAAAATATGAGTACGTATCACGACTGAGTCACTTGTGGATGTATAATTAAAAAACAACACAGTTTCTGTAACTTTAACTATGGTTTTCGTGTTTTGAGGAAAAATTGCTCACATATTTTTAAGTTCTCTGTCTATCAGGCAAGGTTTCGTAGACAGATCCAATGTACTAGGAGACATAGGGCGTAATGGCGACGAAATAGAATATTGTAATCGGTTGTGGTAAAATGTTTGTGTTGTAGTAGGTATTGTTTTTTTATTTCCTTTACCTTATTTTAATTAAATGTAATAACATGCAAAAAAATATATCAGAAGTAACTCTCTGTGCTTTGGATTCTTTTTATGTTTTTCAACACTAATTATATGAGTTCATTGATAATGTCATCAGAAAGGTTCCAAGTGTTTGGATAGTTTGTGTTGATTTACAATGTATAGATTTTTAAATAATATAAGTATCAGAAATGATCCACGTGAAGTGGATCTCTTTTACAGATTATATATTTAAAATAAGTACCAATAAACACTTTTTTCGTACTAATGATCCATGAAGATTGGATTGTTTTAGTGGCTTCAAAAACAAAAACCACGCCATACATGGGGAATGGTACCTTGGTTGATAAACAAGACATTGTTTCGTATTTCAATGAAATCTTATGACTGCATGAAAGTATCGACCCCTTCACGGACTTTTTCGGCATACTTAACTCAATTTTGGTAGTTTTGTGGCTTGGATCCTTTTTGTATAACTACGTCAATTATCCTTAGCCATAAAAAGTATGAATTATATTGTCAATATATAGGCCATGTTTGTTAATAATTTTATGAATAAATTACACCTTTTCATGTAACTATAACATTTAAGCTATCATAATTGTACAAATGAGCTTCTAAAAAGAAATTCAGTGGTTAATTTACAGGAATACTTACTCTAGGGAGTAGGATAACAGTGAGACACACATACCTTCCCAAGTTCATGCCCATGGAAATATTTCTATCACACCTATATTTGTCAAAGCCATCAGCTCTCAAAGAAAGTGATACAAGTGACACGTGGGAGTTATCCATGGCCTGAAATAAAACCGAAAAGCATTTCACAGTTACCTCCAAGTTGTTGATAAACATATTCACCAATTTCAATAAAGTCAATATAATATAATAATAAAAACCTTATACATCTCACAAACAACTGTCTGATCCCAAACTTGGCAGAGCATGTGCTATGGTACCCAAATTGCTGATAAACATACTTACATAGCCCTTAATACAAACATATTTTAGATAAATTACACCCAGACAGAACAAAATCACAAAATATTTGTCCTGGGTGGGAATCGAACCCCTGACCTAAGGTGTGGCAGTCAGTGTAACCATCCACTAGACCAACAGGCCCGTCATTTAACAGCAACATGCATAAAATAAATACAGTCTATATCCCCAAAAGCCTACCTTAACATTTTGCTAACTGTACTTTAGTAAGTACCCCTCACATTTAGGGGCAAGTCTATTGCTGACAACTGGACATTTAGGGAAATTAGGAATGGGAAAAGAGGAAGGAAAAGGAAAGGTGGCATATTATGGGTTTGGGAGGATTGTAAGCTATAGCTTGGTAAGATCAGTCTCATCCTTATAACTCACATTGGATTTTGGCAGTTAATTTGAGCCCTCAACTTCTACTAATTTAAACCGAATTTTAAACAAACGTGTGTGACGTATGTTCATAACTGAGACTGGTTTCATCACTTGAGTACCTCAGATCACATACTTCAAATAAGATTGGTAGTGGAATGTGTTAAGACTTACCTGCAGCTGGATACCATTGTCGTCACAATCAAATGTAGCTTGTGTAAGAAGATCCTTGATGGCTTCTAACACCTTCTTTAAAATGGAACTACGTAGGAGGCGTGCTTCGAACATTGTAGTCTGAAAATATAGAGATATTTCTAATTGCAGTTATAGGTAATACATTAAGTGTTAAAACCACTCTTATTTGATTCAATAATCATACAACATAGTGCATCAAAAAGTTATATCTACTGAAAGTGTAACAACTTTTTGGAAACAAAGAAACATAGAGCAAATTTATACAACATGTAAACATTACAGAACCCACAAATTACTTACTTTGGTGCAGTGAAACGTTTCTAAGAACAAAATCAAAAGCAATACAGCACAATGGGTTGAGATAGAGAGTTCGACCTCACCAAAAGTTAATAGTATGACAGCCGGTCGCGGGAAAAATCGGCGCGAATCGGTTAAATGTCAAACAAACTGGAAAGGTAGTGTTCCAGTTCCGTCGTAGGCGATATTGTGGAAATAACTCTTTATTTTAGTGAGAAATCGTTAATAATATCTGTGACTAAAATGCCATTTAAAAAGCACTTGAAATATTAACAAGGATCTAAATAAACTTTTTTTTTTGTCACTGACCGGCTTGTTGACTAGGAAATAAAAAAGATGAAGTTTTTTATTATGTCTAATACTATCTATTTACCTGTATTTTTTTTAAACTTAATACATAATAATTAATAACCACTGTTGGTTGCAGATGTGACCACCAGACCTTGCACCTACCGACTATTACTTTTTCTAAAATTTAGACAACTTTTAGAGGGTAAAAAATTCAATTCCCGAGAGGCAGTACAAAATGCCTTTGAAGAGTTTGTTGCCTCCCGTAAAGCTGATTTTTAAAAGAAGGGCACCAATAAACTGCCAATGCGTTGGCAAAGATGCGTCGATTGCATGGGTGATTACTTCGAATAACAGAAATAAAAAAGTTTGAAAAAATAAGTACTTTTACTTATTGCATACAAAACGGCAATTTCATTGGTAAAGACCAATGATTTTTATATTTGAAATATCATTGGTAAAGACCTAATATAATAAAATACATTTATTAGATAACAATATATAAGTATTGATTTTATATCAGTTTCTTTAGCCTGGCCAGCTAATTAGTCTAATTTTATTTATTTATTTTAAACTTAATGCACATACTGTACAATGGCGGACTTAATGCCATTAGGCATTCTCTCCCAGTCAACCTTCAGGTGATGTAGAAATATGATGCGGTAGGTGCAAAATAAAATATGATATTAACATAATTTAGGTCCAGAAACATACACAATATAAAAACACACATGCATACATAAACCTACATAAATTTAATAAAATATATAAATACTCAGTCGGGAACTAGAGCTGTAACTATTTCGCCAATTCACCCCGAAGAAGATCGCGCACTTTTCTCTTGAATGCAAGGCGATTTGTTGACATCCTGCTTTCGGCAGGGAGGGCATTCCAGAGGAGGACTGACTAGACGTAGAAGGAGGAGTTGATGAAGTTAGAGGTGTGAGGGGGGGCATAGAAGAAGCATATTGTTGGTTGATCGAAGATTTCGATCGTGATTGGAGCATAGGAAACTGAAGTGAGTTGAGGAAAGAAAAGAGAGAAGTCAGTGCTCGTAAACTGCGGCACTGACGAATTGGGAGCCATTGCATTGCATTGAATTTTCATGGATAGATTTCGCTGTCTTTCATAATTATCTATTAATCGACTCGAGTATAGTACATGACAAGAAAATTAAACGCGCTCATTATCTATTCTACTAAAATTTTTTGTTACGTTGCGTCACTTTTGGATGGCGACAGTTCCTAACATTTTTATGGCCATAGGGCCAGAGATAAAAATATGTCCATGTCACCAATCGTAATACCAAGAGTTGCCTGGTATTTAATCGGGAACAACACAATTGCACTGGTAGGGGTAACTAAGTCGAGTGAATAAAACTACAACTTGTTACTTGTTCTAAAATATTGTATTGTTACCCAAGGATGGTTCCCTTTTTTTTTTTTTTTTGTTACTTGTTCTAAAATATTGTATTCTTGTATATCGAACGGGACATAATATTATGTCACATTGGACATTTACTCGTAGTATAGTTGCCTCTCTTTGAAACCCTTTTATTACATTTTAACACTTGGTGAAAAGGACAATGCATTTCGTAAAATGTTAACTAGTGAAGGGTTGGATCATCAAAAATATTCCTGAATGTGGATACGGATTATTAGTCTAGAATTCTAGATCCACAAATAACGACCGGACCTCAAATTTTATCTTGGTACATATCTATACGCGTGACCTTTTATGGACAGTTGTAGTTTTTTTAACTTGTTTACATGAATGAGATAAAGAACAAGCAAAACAGCGCTATCTCGACACAAACTTATATTTATACAAAAAAAGTACTCATAAAATTACTTTAATACATTTTTGATTTATCGGAATACTATGTATGTTCATAATATACGTTTTATCAGTATCAAAGTTTAAATCGATTCAATAAGAGTTCACTTGACAAACCCATTTACAACTATAAGCTAAATGCTTTTGCACTCATTTAGTAATATGGATATGGATAAATATGAAAACTCACCCTTATCAGTAATGCGTCTAAAGGTGGATACAGACATTGCGATGCATGCACACGTCTCACAACAGTAATCTGTGCTCGCATCTCATGAATCGATATAAATTTACCTTGAGTAAAAATTTAACCAACGCAGGCTCGGCAGACTGAAGATGGCTCGGGTCCATCCAACCGAGTGTGAAGCACTTGCCTCGCAATGTCGTTCGAAAGTAGCATGGGCTCTCGCCGTCCACACGTTATGAAGCATGCGATAAGGAGCCGTTCACATGCCTCGCAATGTCTGTATCCGCCTTAATCCTTTGGTGCTATTATAAGTAGGTAGTTAATGATGTTACTGAGAAAGTTTTAATCGATTCAGAAAGAGTTCAGTTTACCAATCCATTCCTAACTAAATGTGTAATCAATGTGAACACGATTAGATCAGCTCAATAAAAAATTTAACGTCAAAGTTGCATTCAAACTGTGTTTCGTTTATTATTTTGTTCCTAACATATCTCTGTATTAGCATTTTATTGTGAATGAGTAGTTTTTTTTTTTTTTTTTTTTTTTTAAAAAGACAACGCCCGCATTAGGAATAAATCCTGTGTCGCGGGGGACTTTACAAACATACATGAAACGGACACAAAGAACACCCAGACTCAGAACAACAATTTGTGGATCACACAAAGTGTCGTCCCATGTGGGGTTTGAACCCACAACACTCGGCGTAGTAGGAAGCGGCGTGGCGACCGCTTAAACCACTACGCCATCCGTGCAGTGCAGTGCAGTTATGTGTGATGTATGTATTTGTGTGTGCATATGTAGACAATATAGACATCTACGTGTATATTATTTATTTGCTATAATTGTAATAATACAACATTGTTATATATCTGTTAGTCTCTCTAAGAATAATTAAATAAATTGAATTGAGTGAATAAATGCTTTTTGCACTAATTTACTAATATTAAACATGAATTTATTAAGTTAATGAAGAAAGAAAAGATATAGAAAAAAACATTTATTTTTAAATGAGAAGAAATATGCAAAATATTTTTTTTTGTTCTTAACATAACATACAATATTCCGGTTCGAAATATCTCACCGAAGCACTTTATCTTTAATAAAGTAGGTCTCAGCTACAACTGGAACATAATTGAACTTTAATCTACAGAACTTGTCAGGCTTTGTCAAATAAATAAAACTAGTTGGTAAAAAATATTTATTTGACAATTAACTGTTACAATACATAATATATATTTACAATATTTACCCTTCAAACTTTAACTAACCAATTATCAAAACAACAACAGCAAAAAATCAATAAAAAAAATTAACCCATTCAACAAGATAGCTGAAGAATTTGATCCTGGGCTGGGTAAGGTGGTAAAATTAATTTATACTTTTCGATTATTCCTGGAGGTAAAAATCTCCCACCAAGAAAATGCTTTGCATTTCTAAATATTCTGGTTTGGCACATTTCTTTGGAGCTGATAGTGATATCAGAAGAGCTGGCTTAAGTGCTCTCACATTAGGAGGTCCCGTTTCCACATTCCAACCACTGGGGATATCCACACTAAAATCAATAAGTTAAAACAAGTTATGTTATAGATCAGTTTAAATAATACTAGCTAGTAATGAGGGCTACAAACACAGATTTCAGACCTATCTACTCCAAATTTTTTAATATTTTAAATAAATTATAATTTCAAGAAAGAGTCTTTCGAGACACTGTTATATATCAATATTTATAGTAATATGTTTGAAGAATTTTGTGATTCTGTTCATAATTCAATATTTTTTGTAAATAGTTTATTATTTTGCAAAAAAATAAAATTGCAGGAAACAAACATGATTTAATAGATAAATAATAAGAAATTGCTTTCGAATAACTTATCTAACTTTATTCTATGCAAAGACAAGCATATATATTAAATCTGTAGTCACTGTGTCACTACTACACCAGAGTATAATATGTAGAATTTTACCAGTTACTTTTAAACACAATCACCAACTTTAAGTAAATAATTATGGCAGTCAGGATCAGGTCATCTTATTAGTCTGCCGTTGGACATCAGGCAAGAAACAGTTAAAGTTATATTTTGGAGGAAACTTAAAAAGTATTTTTTTTATTTATTACAATAAGCTCTTGTTATATGTATCTATAATAGATTTTAAATTACTTAAATATGACAAAGCATATAGACACTCGATCCCCAGTCAAACCATCAACCCAGTTGTGGGGGACAAAGAATGTAATGTCATGTTTATAAAATAAAGTTGAAGTATGAAAAAACAAAATTGTCGTAGAAGCCGAAGGCTGCTAGGCCTGCTACTACAGGCCAATACACAGTGTTACCTATGGGAATCAGAATAATATTACTTCAGTGGTGCACTGCACAAATGCAAATACTGACCATAAAAAAGTTTTAAAATAATGGAGGATTACTAACTGAACTATTCCACTTCGTCAGCACCTCTCTTAAATTTTATACAATTTTTGTAACATTTTTTATTGATACTCGGCTCCTATTGGTTGTAGTGTGATGTTATCTAACCTATAGCCTTCCTCAATAAATAGGCTAATCAAAACTAATTTTTAAATTTGTAACTTCTGGCTTTTGACATAAGCATGTTCAACCAAACAAACAAACTGTTCAGCTTAATAATACTAATGTAGATACATATAATATATTACCTGCAAACTGGCAAATTGGCATCAATAAGAATATCCATAGCAGGTTTTAACTCATCGCGTACTGGTGGTTTAAAACTAAACCCAAAAAGTGCATCCACAAGCAGATTGTAGTCATTACGTATCTCTGGTGCTTTTGGTAATGTTGTGATGACATCAACTCCAAACTGTACACATTGGTGAAGTAGATTGTCATATAAAGGTTTAGGTGTTCGTTTTGGGTAGTACACTGAAACATTGTAGCCAAATAAAGTCAAGTGGCGGGCTGCAACTAGACCATCACCACCATTGTTTCCAGGTCCACATACTACAAGAGCAGATTGATGCCTGTTAACAAGTTTTTACTCTATTTAGGAAGTGAAGTTAACTGAAATGACTAAAATGGTATTGAAAACAAAGGTTTCTCTTATGTTTAACAGAAAAATAATTTTTAATTGAGAGGATTGCCAAAATAATGCCATAATTTATCTTTGATTGTATTATGAGATTTTTATAACTTTCTTAGTAACCTAAAAAAGTTATTAAATTAGTAGATAGTATGATAGATTAACACCAATAATCACAATAGTGTGATTGTGAATGATAACAAATTTTCAGCAAAAAAAAAAACTATTAGCAAAACGCCAAAGTTCATGCCATACATACCAGGCTTAAATATTTTATCGCATGCCTAGCAGTCATTGATGTAAATTGAAATAAAATTAAAATAAGAAATAATTAGTTGAGAAATAAGTTATTTTTGTCTATGAGCTATAACTTTAATAATACTTACGTAGTTGGTGGAAAGACACGAGCCACCGCAGACGCTACGCTTAGACCTGCAAGCTCCATTAGCTGATCTACACTGAATTTATATTCTTCGAATAAATCCTTGTCCAAGTCTGCTGCTTCAGATTGTGATAAGTATCGCATACGGCGCGTGTTGCACACTTTGCCACTAGTTGCCATTGTACTCTCTCCACAAACGCTGGCTACCCGTAACTAAAATAAAATTGACTGGCTTATTAAAAAGAGTGATAAAATCAAAATAATGATAATTATTCACCGGTAGCCGATAATAATAATATAAAAATGAGTAGTTATTACATACCAACAAGACACTTCCTACGATCCTGGAAATAAGCATTTAGACTAATAAAATATCATTAAAAGAACTAATGAATGTATTTATCCAAATTTCTACTTTTTCATCTTTTTATTTACGTACTGAATTTACAACCTTTAGTTCAGTGACACGATGGCCATCTGACAGCATGACAGCTGACGTTTGCGTTGTGTTCTGTTTGTGTAACTTCGAGTATCACAGTGATTTTAATAATTATTATAATGACTATTTTATGCTAGTGAGTACTACTATATATTTTTTTTGGTTCAAATATGTATTTAATAAGTTCTTATTTACTGTTCTAGTTAATAATTTTCAATTCAAAATCGAATTCAAAAGTTCAATGTCTTTACTTTCAGAAAAGCATTCTAGCGTGATACTGATCGTTTTTGTCACAGTGACGGTTTTTTGACAGTTGTCTTTGTCAGTTTTGGATTTTCGCTCATCCGTCATAAAAATGGCTGCGCTAAGGGTATTCAGTCGTAATTTACCATATTTACGACAGCAGTTTTCCGCTTTATTAGGAAACACATCGCCATCGGTGAAGTTCATTTGTGTAGTAGTTACTATAGGGTATATTCTGTCGTTTTCCGACGATGTTGTGGACGTTCTTAGTGTCACTCCAGGGTATTTGTTGCCACCTTCTTTTCAACTGTGGTCCACTTTCACATTCTGGTTTCTCGAGATACATTTGTGGGAAGTGATCATCGACATTGTGACTGTAGGGTTGTGTGGGAAACTAATAGAACCATTATGGGGTCAAATGGAAATGATGAAGTTTTTCCTGCTGACAAACTTCGGTGTTGCTTTTCTGACGACGTTCTACTATTTAGTGATATTTGCGTGTACAGGGCACCCATCCTATTTGTTTGATATTCATGTACATGGGCTGGCGGGGTATTTGGCTGCGGTGAGTGTAGCAGTTAAGCAGATAATGCCAGATCATCTGCTGATAAAAACACCTCTAGGTGGGAATTGTTTGATAAGTATTTAATTTTTTACCATTGATGTATATTGTAATTGCATGATAGTAAAGTTTATAGTACTCAACTAATCACCTTGAAAAAGATAATGCACACTTAAACATGTAAATTTATTATATCTATATGATTGTGTGTGTTGTTAGTTAATATACTCATAGGTATTATTTTGAATTCCATTTAATATGTAAGCAATAGCATCTATCAAATATTGTTTTGTTTTATAAATAATAATATTGTTAAAACATAATTTTATTATTCTCTTTTAGGCAAGCTGACTAATAGATCGCTGCCACTGTTGATCCTAATTGCAGCTATAATTTTGTGGGCTATTGGTGCTTTAGAAGGCACATACCCTTGTATGTGGGGAAGTGGAACCATTCTCTCATGGATATATCTGAGATTTTGGCAGAGGCACAGCAGTGGGACTAGAGGAGACATGGCTGACAATTTCAGTTTTGATAAGTAAGTGTTGTATTGTCTTTTTCACTGAAAACCGCCTTTCTCTTATATCTTCTCAAATATTAATTTTAATTATATGCTGTAATGAGCAATTTTAATCTACATTCAATGTACAACGTTTCTAACATATTTTATTGGATAAGGAATAATAATGTATTGTTTAAAATAGCTTCATAAATAACCCATTATTTTTTGTAATGTAAAAAAAAAGATAAAATGGTTACTGTGGGCTATCCTTAGGAGACATATCATTGTTGACTTTTTTGTCTCCTAGATCTTTTTATGATATACAATTCCATGGTACATTATTTTGGTCTATCTCAGGCTTAGCCAGTGTTTACAATGTAAGCACATTTTTTTACGACAAATTTATTGAAATTCTCGTATTTTTACTGCTATAAAATGCATGTATTATACATATAAACCTTCCTCTTCAATCACATTCTCTATTAGTGAAAATCACATTAAAATCTGTTGCTTAGATTAAAAGATCTAAGAGCACAACACAAAAAAGCGACTTTATTATAAAAAACGTAAAAATGCTGCACACATAATTTATATTTTTTTGCACAATTGATTGTCATATTATGTATTTTTTATTTACAACAACTAAAGATCACTTAAATCATAATCAATGTACTCACAGTAGTTGTATACAAATTATAGTCAAACCGTACCAAATTGGCTCATAAGTGTTCCAGTATTGGGTAATAGGTGAACAAAATGACTGTAATGATGATAAGTATTTTATTCTCACGTCATTGAATTCATTTACTGATAAGAAATAGCCATAATATTCTTAACTCTTAAGTTATGTGTCATTTATTTTGAATCTTTAAGCCACTCAAAAAATTTACTATTAACCTTAGCAAGAGGGGTTGTCAGTTGCCTATTCTGAAAAGTTTACGAAAAGTTTTGATCTGTAGGATGCCGGTGACTTTTGCGCTAGTGCTAGTGCAAAAGTCACTCAAGCTTTCAATGTCAATATGTTGTACACATAAAGTACAAAACTGCTGCCTAGGAATTAGAATGTGTTGGCTTATTGTTTATCGCTAAAATTAATGTTAATTGCTTCATAAAAGGTTTGAATTACTAGTCATTTTTATTTCTTCGGGAAAACATACAACCAAGTTATGAAGTAATGGAATAATTCAATACGGTTATTCCTTAGAAATATGTGGCTTGGTAGCATCTGATGTTTCAGTAGATCAGTCAAGGAGGAGGTGGTAAAATCTTTATGAAAGGTCTATGTTCAACAACAGCTGTGTCATATTCAGGACTTCATTAAATATTAGGAGCTGCCTAGTTTTGCTTGCAATGATTGAGTTGTAGTGTGTTTTAAAGTCATGGATCATTGTCTCATCAAATCAAAAGGCTTTGACTGTGTGTGTGTCAGATCTCACCTGGTGGAGCCATTCAATAGTTACACAATAACTGAATAGAATTCAATTCAAAAATTCAAAACAGAAAAGTTATCTTCAGTTTGGTTCAGTGTCTTAGTTTTGAGACAACTAAGTGTGTATAATGTTGAGATGTTTACTAATAAACTTCTGTAGCATTCTACACACATATTCGTGAAGATAACTGTTTTTTTGTGCAGATGGGATAAATTGGATTAGTGAATCCCATTCTTTGATAGACTTTTAACCTATTGGAAGGTTTTTCTAAAATTTTAGTAGATTTTTACTTGATTGAAGTTGCCCGACGGGGAACTACTTTTGTAATGCTACTTATTCTGCTCACTAGTAGTAATGCACATGTAACAATTGCTTTTTAAAATCTAAATATATGTTAGCAATGCCAAGTGTACTACTGCTTACTTCTTTGTTCACATCCACTACTGGACATAAGCTTCTCCAAGTTTCCCTACTACTTACTAATGTTTGAAAACATATATGTATTTTCTGAAAATGAAGAAAGCCGATATTTGATCAAATTTATTTAATATGGAAATTATATTTTGTTTTGCAGTTTCTTCCCAACAGTCCTACAGCCAGTGGTGCGAGGAATCCTTGGTCCACCGCACCGCTGTTTGGTGCGCATGGGGCTATGTTCTCCAAGTCAACGTCGCGTGCACCTCGCACTCAGTCCTCGGGGAGTCACTATATCCATGCCGGGAGTGGAGCCCCAAGATATGGAAAGACGGAGGTAGGCACAAATAACATACATTTGTCCATAGGCCTCATGTCATAAGCCTCCGATTAAGTGTTTTTGATTGATCGCTAGATTATCTACTTTTATAGTGTTCAACTAGGTTACCTTTCTTTAAATATAAAAATTAATTACCGACGGGGCTGTTACTCTAGTGGTTAGTTAACCTGACTGCTAAGCCAGAAGTTGTGGGTTTGATTCCCACCCAGGACAAATATTGTGTGATGAGCACGGTCATTTGTTGTGTCTGGGTGATATTTATCTATAGTATGTATGTGTTTGAAAATATACAAGTATGTTTACACACAGACTGCCTGGTTTGGGATCAGACGGCTGTGTGTGAGGAATTGTAGATTATATGTAGATATACATATATACAATTAGCAATTTTGATATATATGAACATGTGTTTCTTGTATTTTAAGTACTGAAGGAAATCAGTGAACCATGCTAATTACCGAATATTGTTTCCAGACAAATCGCGCTCAAGGCCTTGAGCGAGAGATTATCGAAGACTTCTGAACAAACGCGGCAAAAGAATCTATCTACCAAAGTGAACATAGATGCAGTGAGGAAGATGCAATCACAAGTTATCCCGCAGTTTCCTGCAGAGGGCGCCGCCACTCAAGGACCCTCTCCGCCTCCCGCGGAAGCCACCTTAGTCGACCTAGGAACGGAACCAACGCCACCTACCACTAAACAATCATGATCTTCACAGTATCACACCCCCTACTAAAAGGCTGTTCACAGAACCAATGTAGAAATAGGGAGTGTAGATTTTAAACACTCAATTTCCATTACTTTTGTGTGGTTAGTGATGTGACGAAATTGTTTAATTCCAGTATTAGAAACCGCTGGATGTTTTATAACATTATGTTATCTCGTTTTTTGTTGCATTTATGTTGAAATTGCAAAACAAATTGGTTTGAAATCTCTAACATGACGTCGCGCATTAACTTAAATCTTTCCGTCACTGTCATTGATATAACCTGCATAGTATTTAGAAAGGAATTATAGGTTAAATAAATCATTTGCCTCCTAGGTTTCACATCACAATCAGCATCAACTCTGAGATGCTTGATGACAGACTGAATAAATGTTGCGTGAAAGATATAACATTCTATATAAGAGTCAATGCATCTAAAGTCTAATTTATTATTACTGTTTATTTTAGCTCGCTAGGGTAATCGCAACATGCTAACATTTATTCAATACATTCTCCATACAATGCATAGCTTTGTATGGAGCCCCTTACTATTCATATAAATATATAATTTTAAAAGTACTGGTTTCGTAAACATTATTTGAAGACAGTACACTAGAGGCTCCCCTTGCTAACTGACCTAATACATAGGAGCTATGAATATAGTTCCTTTATTATCAACCAGATAAGGTTGCATTTAATTTACATATTCCAAATACAAGTCATAGAAAACTATAAAAAGGAAACAGAGAAATAACCTAAAAAAAAGATTACCACAGAAGGCTAAGTCAATGTTTTGACTAGTGACAAATATCGACCCATCGACCTATAAGCATCTACCACCAGTGACAACCGCCATTCAGTTCAGTACGCATTGCGCTAATAACGGCTAATATAATGTAAGCGTAAAACTAGAAATGTGTCTGTGTTGTGATGATTTCATATTAATGTATCAAATTGTCACAAATGTGTTTCTTGTCTGACAACGATTTTTTTAATTGTCTTGAAAACGGTAGTCGTCGCCGGTAGTAAACCAATGCTATGGAAATGCTCAGCGCTGGGTTCTTAAACGTCGCCGGTGGCGGACGGTGCGACGTGCGACGTCGCGACGGTCGGTCAGAGAACCCTGCGCCTTAGTTAGTTGAGTGATTCAACAGCTAAAACGATAAGACATTTATCTCTTTTTTTTCTTAAATGTTTTTATTCTAATGTCACTTTTGGAGATTCCCTAGTATTCATGCCACTAAAGCTATGTAAGTGAGAGGCATCACAATAATCGATAATCTATTTTAATAAGATGCTGTTATCAAGGTAACATCTTTATCATGCTTTTTTCCAATCATATCACCTCATAAAAATTTATCATTCTTAGCAATAAATCAAGTAGGCAAGGGTTCAAATACAGATTATGGTATCTTTATATTAATAATAAAATATTTAATTTCAAACTTGCAAGTTATTGCAAGTTTGTAATTAAATATTGTATTAGTCAATTAAAACGTGAATGATGATACCATTTGTGATAGTTTCTTGACGGCAGATATACCAATTTTCTGTTTGTTTAACAAGATTTTTTACATAATTGTCAATTAAATAGACAATTGAGCATTTCACGCAAATGTTAATGGTGAGACATTGTTAGTCTGTCTGCTATAATATTTCTGCAGTGGCACTGTGAATTTATATGAAATAGTATTAATTTTATTTTCTTTTATAAAAATCCGATTGTTTATTGTAACAGTTGTATGTATGGGGTCAAAAAGTAAAATATTGTTTTGCAGATTTTATTGCATTTGTTGATTGTGTATGATGTGAATGAATGATGTGACATATTGTAAATATAATTGATATTGATTAGTGTTAATTAATAAAAATAAATATCTAATCACTTAGTTTATATCTTTATTGCTCTTCTCAGACGTTTATTTCTATATAACATTTCAGATCAATATAATGAGTTTATATACATATAAAGTAATAATAAAAGTTATACATATTATATAATACTCTATTTTACATTTGTACAAGATATTGACAATTATCTCATAAAATGAAGACACTTTTATATAAATGAGCAAAGTTATCTGAATGTCTCATCCAATTCGTCAAATCCGAAGCATCAAAATAATGTATCACCCCTTTGTGACAAAAATTTAAGAGCTAAACAACAGCGAACGAAAAATATTTTTTGACGAGAACACGAGAGAGGCGACTGGTTTATAAAAAAAAACACTTATTATTGATGGCAAAAAACCTTATCCTAAAATAATTATATTAAGGTACCATTGAAAGGCATATGTAAAGGCAATATCACTATCTACATTATATCAATGAATAATTTTGTCAAGTTACCATATAAAGGTCAAACCAGACCGAGCGGTGAACTCCCCTACCTACGGTGGACTACATTATTCTACTTGCATACGTTTATCAACTTTATTTTAATTAAATAGTTTATATTATAATCAAATCTTACAAGTGTTCACGCAACGCCAATGCTAACTGCACAAAGCATCATACTGTTCTGTGCGAATAGCCATTTGAGACATTGAAATGAAAAGTAATTATTTCATTGTATTTTCATGACTTTATAAATAAAAAGAACGACTATAAAGCTGCCGCTTTGTTTATATAAATACTTATGTTCTTTGATGAAGAATTAGTTTTACTATGAAGAGCGGCAAAATAATCTGTTTGAATGGGGGTAGACATAATATTAATGTTTAATAACAATATGACAAAAATGAAGAAAGTTTTATAGTTGAAATAAATATCATTTAAAGAGAAAAAGCTTAAGGTATTTCGACTTGTACAATATAATAACAATATAATATTGTGTATCATGTTATAGTAAATAACTTAAGACTAATATAAACTCAAAAATTGCTGTTTCAATTGCAGAACACGTTGCACAGTAAGAACCATGTCCATTCGTAGCAAAAGTTCATTTTGACGCCATTAGAGTCTAACACACGATCTATTTATTATTGCACATCATGTCATCTAATTAGGTTTCACGAGTCCAAACATTGTAGTATAATACATATTTTGAAATACAAGGTTATACATACACAGGTGTGTCAAAAATTGTCGAACACATATCTCTGTGTAAATTGTTTCTTATCTTAAAAGAAGATTTTTATTTTTAAAACTGCTATTAGAATAAAATTATATTGATATTTAATTTCAAAATATAGAATATACCTAAATATGTTTATTACCAATCTGGTTACCATAGTACAGGCTGTGCCTAGTTTTGGATCAGACGGCCTAGCTGCGATGTGTTAAGTTATTAATAGGGGTTAAAGTATGAAATTGCCGTTGTATAGTAATAGATACTTTGAACGTACATAAAACCTTCATGGTGTGAGATTTTCGTGTAAAACTTTTTTCACATGATACCTATGAGCTGCTTCTTTTAAAAATGTGTAACATTCGATTTTCAACTTTCAATTAGAGAATTCAATTCAAGAAAAAATAATACGGAAGATATCATCTGAGGTGATTTCAGATAGTGGCAATCAAGTATTTCTCAGGAAAGAATTCAAAATGTCTTTATATCTTACATTAAACTATTTGATTGTCCTCTTATTCTTATCCATTGTAAAGGGAATTTCTTTAAATGTACCACTCAACGCATTCAGTTATTTTAATTTAACCAGTCCTCCTTTATCTAACCTAATTGAATATAGAATCAACTCCTCAATAGAATATGTCCCGTTTCCTCCACGACCAACATGTGAGCAATTGCTTGACATAGAAGAGGAACAATATGCTGTGTCAATAACAACTTGGAAAATTGATCTAAATGATAAAGGAATGCAAGGGGTTTTGATGTGGAGGGAAGCAGTAGATACAGTATGTACATTTACTTTTTGGGGACATAAGTCTCATTCAACGGAAAGTTCACATGTTATACAATTCGGACAATTACCTGCAATAGATGAATTAAACCGATTTTTATCCTTAGCGATAGATGAAACCTCTGAATGTCCCATAATAGATGACAATGAAAGATACTATTGTTATTATTGTCAGAATAATTATAAGCATACATATTACAGAAATCTTTATAAACATGTAGTAATATCACGATTTCCGGATGGAAGTATCAGAACACCAACTGGTTTTAGGACTCATATGACTGAAAATTTCTACACAGATGGTAAGAGATTTTTGTATATTTCACCCGCATTTTGGAATCTAGGACTTGCCCATTCACAATCCATGAGGTCAGATTTGGGTTGGTTTCATTATCATCAACAAATACCATGGTTATTTCTATCCCTTCAATTAAACAGCAATATTCAGTGCCTGAGGGAAGTGACTTTCTTGAATGCAAACATAATGGAATAAATTATATTGTTTGGCATACTGCAGGAGGTTATCTAATCTCGTTCTCAGGAGACAATTTACCAATGTCAAAGAATTTAAGATCAATAATTAAAAGAAAACCCAAATCTAGAGTAAGTAGATCCATACGAAGTCTGGATATTATTAAACAAAGATTCAATTTATTTTATCACCCAACTGCTAGGTCCAAAAGATCAACAAACAGGTGGGAATTTGCCTCTAATCTTAGACCAGATCTTGTATACTCACAACTAAGGTATGAAACTAATTTTGTCTTAAAACAAATAAATAAGAATCTGATACTAGTGCAAAACAATATATGTGAATCTATTCTTATGAGATGGGCATCATTATACCCACCAGACTTACCAAGGAAGGTGGCGAATTTTGTAACTAGAACAGCAAACTCAATAGGAGAATTTAGAGATTCCGTTTACAAAGTCACAACAACCATTCCTCATACAAATCCAATGGAATTAATATTACCTCTTCATAAAGTAAAAGGTCATTATCTGACAAAGGACTTAAGTACAAATCGTACATATTGGATAGAGCCAGTGACCGGGATATTGTATTTAATTCCTCAATGGACACATTACTCAATGATATCAACTTGGCTTCCTATGGCAAATGGCAGTGAATTTGACCCTGTTACAGGTAAAATAGTTTCTTCTCAGGCTACCAATACTCCAAAAACATTAATCAATCAGGCTGAAGCTTACTATCCTAAAACACTATATGAACAAGGGTCATTGGTTGGGATCTTTGAAGAAAACAGCTTTTACAACAACCCATCATCTCCCGGATCTTCTGGTTCAGGATCAGTATGGTGGTCACCCTTTATTACACACATCATTACCGGCTCTTTATCCTTAATCTGCTTTATATTGCTGTTTCCGGCATTGTTGAAATTATGCAGCTCATGTGTAATGAAGGGAGAAGAAACAGTGGAAAGAACATGTCTCCCTGCATTTTGTTTTAATCCTTCACAAAGGAGAGAAAAACTTATTCCCTGATAAATTACAATTACGATGTTTAACTTCATCAACTGTTACATTAGAGTATAATCTTATTCCTATTTTCTATTTAATCTAGGTATATCTTATGACTTATATCTTAAGACTTTAATAATCTTAAGTGTTTAACCTTTTAGACATTAAGTTATATTTTATTAGCCATATAATGATAGAATACAAATTTGTTATGAATACTATACATTAATTAAGAATTAAAAATGATAACAAAAATTATAAAAAAAAAAGAAAATTTCTTTCATGCAGGTTAGACGTGAAAGTTGGATACTTCGAAAATCCTAGCCATTTTTGAATCCGAGTTCCGACGGGGAACTAACGCGGCAGTAACAGCTCGCGATATCAACGCTGCGTTTGGTGAGGAGACTGTTAATGAACGCACCGTACGTTTTTGGTTTAAACGCTTTCGTAATGGAAACTTGGACTTGAAAAACGAACCACGTGGAAGACCGCAAACACACGTAAATAACGCTGAATTGAAGGAGATGGTAGAAGCCGATCCGAGTCAAACTACCCAGGAATTGCGGCATGGTTTAACGTAACCCTACCTACAATATTGACTCATTTTCATCAAATCACTAAGATAAAATAAAATAAAAATTGGTGCCTCATGATTTGACTGATCTGCAGAAAGAAATGCGAGCTGAAACTTGTGTTGCCTTGTTAAAATCGGTCCAGAAATGAAGGAATATAAGTGCCCTAAAGCAAAGCTTATCAATTAAAAGGTAATGGTCTCCTTATGGTCTTATTCACTATAGCGTTCAGGTCTGGTCAGACAATAACAGCAGATGTTTACGCAAGATCTCACACTGCACGAGAAACCGTTGTAACTCTACAGGAGCTGCAGATAGACACCGTATATCCTCCGTACTCGCCAGACCTTGCTCCAGCGGACTACCATTTTTCTACGTAATAAAAATATTTGTTCCCAGGAGGCAGTACAAAATGCTTTCACACAGTTTGTCAAATCTAGAATAATCCCCAGAGTTCTATCGTAAAGTCATAAATGAACTTCTGTTTAGATGGCAGCGATGTATAGTATGTATGTATAATGAGGGTAAATATTTTGATTAAATAAATAAGTTACATATTAGAAAAAAGCTAGTTTCAATTTTTCAGTACAAATCGGCAATTTCATACTTTAACCCCTAATATTATTACACGATTATCCGGTTCAATTTAAGAAAGTTCCGAGACGTTATACAGTTAGTGCAGCAATGATAAGATCGCGTGTGTCAACTAGCGGCGCCAGGCGAGCGGGCGCCTGGGGCGCGGGCGCTACCGGTAGTAGTGGTGCGGCGGCGCCCAGCCCGGCACCGCCACGGAGCCGCCCGGGTAGCCCTCCGCCCAGCGCGAGCTCTCGCCCATCGGGACGCTCGACGCCATCGGGTTCACGCCGCCCACGTTCGTCGTCATGCTGCCGCCTACAGAACAAACTGGTTATTGCCACCGAACCGTCACTGCCACTAGCGTAACGAGCATATTCAATTCAGATATTAATGACATATTTATACAAATAAAATGACGACTGTTGATGGACTTTAAGAATCAATTGTTTTTACTTATAAACCATTCCATATCTCACTAATATTATACATGCGAAAGTTTGGATGGATGTTTGTTACTCTTTTACGCAAAAACGTCTGATCTGGGCCTCAATTCTGCTATTTTATGTTCACGCCAAGCCACTGTCATACCACTGACACGCTATTGAGATGCCATCGAGTGAGGAAATGATTTATTTATTTTTATTATAATAATTATTAAAATAAATGAATAAATTAGAATAAATTATTAAAAAAATAAAATATAAAAATTATAAAAAAAAGAAAGAAATTATTAAAATAAAAAAAATATTAAATTTAAAAAATAATTTCCTTATAATTTCAAAATATATTACGTTTTTTGAGGATGTGATTTATTTATTTTTACTCACGTAATATTGCCTGCAAACCTATTGCCACCAACTGAGTCCTTTAGAAATCAAAAAATGGAAAACTAAAAGTTTATTAAACAAAATCAGGGCAAGTACGAGTCGGACTCGCCCACCGAAGATTCCGTACAAATTTGTAGGTACATTTATAAATAGTTCAGGAATCGAGTCCAGCAATTTAGTGTTTTATAAGTGAAATTGTACATCGATGATCGATTACGTCCTTTAAATAAAGATTACGAGTAGGTATAATTTTTATAGTTTAATTACAAATGTATAGTTTTTAGATTTTTCCCTGTACTTGTAGTCGATGTTACTTGCTAAATTTCATAGTTCTAGGTTAACGGCAAGTACCCTCTAAATCTTGATTCCCTTAGGTGTCGAAATATGCGTTGTTTGAGGCATAAACGACCGTATCTTTTTTTTAAGTTAACTTAGAAGTTTGTTTTTTTCACAGCTTCCAGGGACTGTAGACTTGAGTATAATTTCAGGTTTAGGTTTTAATTTAAACTCTATATCTCCACGCGTTCCCGAGATAAAAAGGGTCTTGAAAAATAGACGGATGGACAGACAGACGGACAACAAAGTCACGGTAATGTTATCTACCAGTATTCTATCTTCATGCAACGCTCGGGACGCAAGTCATACCTACGCGCCTTCGGTAAGTCGTGTATAAATGGGGTCCCTTAATCAAAGGATGCAGGTACCCCACTTGAAACAAGGAGAGCTCTCAGTGAATAGGTCTATTCAAATTGATGTATGATGGTTATCAATCTTTCAATTATTGTGTCATACCTAATAGGTACGAGTATGATATATGAAGTTGAATAGACTGATTGAATGAGAGCTCTCTTCATTTCAAGTGTGTAAATGGGGTCCCTCTATCAAAGGATCCAGGGACCCCATTTATACACTACCTCAGTGCACATTCGATACACAACCAGTCGCGAATGTAATTAGGTCAAGGACAGGGCTGTGTCACAATACTGGTAGATAACATTACCGTGATAAAGTGATCGTGATAAAGTGATCCTATAAGGGTTGCGTTTTTCCCTTTTGTGGTACGGAACCCTTAAAGGAAATGTGGAACAGCTTGAAAGGAAAAAGTTATTGTTTTTAAAAAATCCTTTGGGAGTGTAAACCATACTTCAAGATGGTGTGATTATTGCTGAAATTCCGAGTCATTAAACTATTCCAAACAGGACTTTGGTGTTACATTACAAATGTTGACAATCAGATGGCAAAATACAGATTAATCTATAAATAATAAATTGCAGCCCGGAGCTAGGTTGAGCAAACAGGCGGGAGTTTCAGGGGGCGCCAAAATCATGATACAGTATGATTAAAAATAAAAAGCTTGCTCCACAAAGAGCCTAGTTGGCTGCCGTTGGAAGCCTGGTTGGCTCACCGTTGACTTATAAGAAAAAAGTACCACACAGACCCACACTACAAGTGAACTTATATATTTTTGAGTTATTTAAAGTATTTTTTTTCTGTTTTATTTAAACCAACTTCCGCAATAAGAATATATCCTGTGTCGCGGGGGACTTTACAAACACACATGAAACGGACATAAAGAACACCCAGACTCAGAACAACAAAGTGTCGTCCCATGGGGGGTTTGAACACACAATACTCGTCAGAAAAAAAAAAGATAAAAGATTTTAAGCAATTTATCTCAAAATCTCAATCAAATTCGTAGACCCCGGGCTGATAAAATTATTAGAAACAATTGTATTAACTAAGGTCTGCCATAATAAGGCTATTCTCTCTAATAACATTAAGCAGTGTACCTGGCTGCGTGACGTAGGAGGGTGGCGCAGAGTAAGGCGGCGCGGTAGCGTAGTACGTGGGCGGCGGCACGCTCATCGTGTGCATCACCTGCACCGACGACACCGGCGGCAGCGACGGCGGGGGGACCGGCTGCGGGGGCTGGCACACGACACTCACAGTTATACCGTGTAACGAATATTGATAGTGAGTCGACTCTTTTGATACACCGCTAAATACCTACAGATTGTCTCGACTAAAAATGTGAAAGGGTTCTCAGGAAATCGATCACGGTCGTAGCTAGGTAAAAATATTTTTTTCCTAATTTAACTATCTTTTACCTAATAGTAGTATCTCGGGTTCCTATTCCGTTTAAAATATTAAATCAAAAAGTTGAACAAATTATACGAAACAGGTTAAAATCATACATTGGAGAATGTTGTATTTCGTTTCTTGATTTCAGTTGGTGGAAATATTTTGGTAAAATTGAATTCATACAACCATGTGATTGCTGCAGTTTTCTATAACGACATTAATGTAATTAACATATAATTAGAACAAAAAGTATTTTTGTAATGAAATGTGTATAAATCATTTAATACATCAAAAGTTTTGTTATACGCTCTTTCTCTTATATTTTATTATAAATAAAGTAAAGAGAAAATAGTACTACTGTGAGTTAATCAAGTAATAAAAATATTGCAAATAATCTTGTGTCGTACGAAACGCGTGCAAACTGATGTAGGTAACACTCTTGAACGCCCGTTCACCGTACCGTACCGGTTAGCAAGCGAAACCAACCGGTACTAACGCAGACATCATCACAGAGGGGGACGCCACTCTCCTTAATAAATAATAGCTGAGTTGACTCACTATTAGTATTTATGACACATTTGGTTATACCGTGTCTCTACATTTTCAAGTATGTCTAGTTATCGATATTGAGAAACACTCACGGGATAATAGTTATAGTAGTTGTGCGATTCAGTCTGGTCCTGTATGGGCACGGTGATGAGGTTGGTGCGCGCCGGGCGCCGCTCGCCGCCGCCCGCGCCGTGCGCGTGCGTGTGCGCGCGCGGGTCGCCCGCAGACGGAGGGATTTGCTGACGGACACACGGGTAACTGTTACTAACGTAATAGGATTTCGCACAAAACCTTTGCCAAAGCTGTTTTCTCTCAACTTTCCAACTGTTTTTGGAGCACTTATATAGGAATAAAAATTTGCACAAAATGGATTTCATCTAGTGCATTCGCATTAAGAAAATAGTGACGCATCGATCACCCTAACCGATCAGATTCGACATACGAAACGATAATTTCTGGGAATCTAATTCAAATACAGTAATAATAGAAGAACACTAAGACAAATTTATAAAAAAAACCTTTTAAACTTACCGTTAAAGGCTTGACAATAGCAACAGTATTGGACGGCGCTTCAGGCTCCGGTTTATTCTCTACCGTACCTGAAGAAACATGCCTGTGATTGATGTGAGCTTGCAGATCTCTCTGGAAAGTTAAGAATAAAATATTTGTACACTACATTCCATTGGTTACTTATATTCGTTATATTAATTTTACAGTTTTATTAGGCAGTCCATTGGCTTAAGTAAAGCATTGCCAATTCAGAAAGACATTGATAAAAATTACCAGAAATAGGCAAAATATGGAAGAAATGTTCATTGAGAGCTGATTAAGTTTAGACAACTGTCTAATGTAGATCTTTTACTGTGAACTGCTGCAATTTAATATTATTTTTATTCATTGTAAAATGAGAAAATAAAACTAGTAAGTATTGATTATTAGACTTGTGTTAGATGTTCACTTATAAGGTGATTCAGTGACTTACCTGTGAAAGGTAGGTTCTTCTACACCCAGTGTTGCCATATCGAGTGCCCGAATGAGTACACATAAAAACTGTGCCTAGTCCTGTCTGTTCAACTCTTAAAACCTAGAAGAAAAAAAATACATATTAATCTTATCCACAAAGAGTTATTATTAAACAGAAACAAAATTTTTGGTAACCATTTTCAAAGAATTGTCTTATAAGATATAGAGTGGTATTGACATATTTATTTCATTCCAGGATCTTCTTTCACATAGCAAAGTGGGTCATTCATAACCATTAAAGGTTTAAAATACTGCGGTGCATGCAACTACACTGCAATAATAATTATAAATACCAGTTGTAAGTTATTATTCGCATCCATAATCACAACTGTATCTTTGAAGGAATAAGCATATTAAAAAGTACATATTTAAAGGATTTATCTGAAATTTGGTATAGAGGTAGCTGGAGTCCTGGGCAAGGACATAGGATAGTTTTTATTTCAGAAATCATCCTTTAAATGGGTGAAAAGGGGGGTGGAATTTTGTATGGGAAATCAATAACCGCTGAACCGAGTTAGATGGAATTGGGTATGGAGATAGTTGATTCTTGAAGAAGAACATAGGTTAGTTTTTACCTTGTTACCGACAGATACGCAGGCGGATCCGCGGGCAAAAGCAGTAAGTAATGTTTATTAAAGTCCCTAAAAATAAATAAAGAGAAAAAAAAGATAAAAAAAAATGTTTATATGTATTAATATATCGTACCTTTTCTCGACATCGGGGGCAGTGTGTATGATCAGATCTAGCGCATGACAAACAAAATACATGTTTACATGGAATCTGAAAATAATATAATAGTGGTTGTAATAAATTTTATAAAGCTTAACTTTATATTGCAATTGAATTTGAAATATCAACACCTTTCATATAATCCAGTCACTTACCATTCGTCCATAAATTAATATTGGTTTAGAACATATGTCACAACAGTAGATCATAGGATTCAAAACTTTCTCTCCGATCAATGTGGCTCGGTGGCTCCAGTCTAGTCTTAGCATTGGCTCTGGTGGGCCACGGGTTAGCGTAGTAAAAACTGGCGCTTCTAATTGGGATATGTCTGATGGGACTTCAACTGTAGACATAAAGAACAAACAATTTTTTTAACAATAGTCAAAAAGTTGTAAGATTTCAAAACAAACAATACAATACACTTAACATATCAGGATCATGTAAAAATAAATTAGAAATATAGGTAATCAAGTTAAAACAGAAAGATCAGGTGTTAATACCACAATATAAAGATAACATTAGAAATTTGCAAGAACCTCATGGGCTAGGTTCAAATAAATATTCAGGATTTTATTCATGATATCCTTAATCCTTCTTCTATTAGCTATGGCAAGTCCAAACATTTTTATGACCAGCCATACTTAGGTTAGAGTTTATACTATTTAAGAGGTATGTAGTACTATCTTAAAATATTGACATATTTACTGTAACCATGTCTTGTTTAGTTACTTTTGGTCATAGTTTGAATCACTTTTTATAACAAGGATTAAAATCTTAATCAATAAACATAATGTTGACAAAATCAGGTGCTATATAGTTACTTTTGCCTGTCATTTTTTTAAATTATTTGGTGACTGCTTCACTTGTTTTATTTCTTTAAAAAATATGACTTGTAAAATACAAATGTATGATATTATCACAGATTTTTGACAGAATAAAATAGTGTGCTCTATCAAATCTATGATAACATAATCATAAGATTGATAATGATTTGAATTGACAGTTTAACCTACATTTCCAATTATATATTTCATCTAAAGATAGATTTTACATTAAGCATAGTTTCCTGTGAAATATTTAATTGCGATTCGATTCTTCAATGAAGATTAATAACATAGTGCAGTATCAAAACATTAATGAGTTGTAAAGTAAATAAAAGCAGACACACAACATGTTATATATGTGCAATACAAAGTAAAGTTATTAAATTACGTTTTGGAGGCTCAGTCGGTTCTGGTTCTTCTTTAACTTCTTCAGTAACTACTTCTTCTGGTTCCTGAGAGGTTTCCTCCACAGAGCATTCTTCCTCATCACTGGACATAACTTTGGGGACTTTCTTCCCACGACCGCGTCCCCGGCCTCGACCTCTTCCTCTTCCACGACCACGACCTCTACCTCTGGCATTTCTCTTCTCACTATTCATATTTTATGTTACTTCTGTAGGAACTTTCAAATACCAAAGCTTTACACTATAACCTCAAACAGAACCGTGACTAACTAATATACACTGTGCAATGATTTAAATAACATAACATCATCTTGGTAGTAGTCTTTTCAATTTATTTTTTACTGATTCTATTGTGATAGTAAGCAAGAAAATCCATTTAAACAATTTATGGCTAATCGTAATCGTCACATAGTTCATCGACTACACGTTTAGTGATGTGCCAAGCGATGTTTTTGTTTAAATTTACATATTATTGATTTACTAGAAAATCCTAGCCATAGTTGTCAATTATTATTCTTGACTATAAAGAATACTTTTCTGATTGGAAAATAATATTTTTTGTATTTACTATATAAATAAACAAAACATAAATAAATGTAGTAGGTTGGAAGCAAACCGCGTATTATACCTAGATAACATTTGGCATCCCTTTTTACGTTCCTCCACGCGCATAACTAAAGCCACTGTACTGGAAATAAATGTAATTATATTAGCTACGTATCTAATACGTATTATTCTTACTTAAAATTATAACACTATTAAAAGTTTAATTGGGTTTTAAATTAAACAAATCTATTATAATTATGTATAACGCTTTTGTCACAAACATTCTTGGTACTCGAAATGTAAAACGGGGCGTTTAAGAAAAACTATGTCAATAAACAAAACAAAAATACATTTGCCGGTTTTGTGTGTGATAAATTTTCTTACTTTAATAATTCTAGAAAATGTGCGTGATGGGCGAAGAAAAACTACAAATCTTGTTTGTGAGTATACAGAAAAATCTTATTTGATTACGTATTAAAATTTAAAAAAAAGCAACAAAACGCTGCCGTTTAATCTTCAGCGAAAAAAATACTTATGTTAAGTTCTAAAGTTGCATTTCCCCTAAAAATAAGTTTTTTAAATCGGTCAGTTTTTTACTTTAGAGATTCTGCATACCATTTTGTCACCAATCATTCAAAAAAAAAGATACATGCCGTGTGATCTTTACTGGAAAACCATGGAAACCAAAACCTTAAAAACTAAAAAAAAAACCGTGTAATTCCATGGAATCCCCAATAGGAACGAAGTTCCTTATGCTATTTGACAAATATTTCATTTATAAATTTTGGTCATGGGATTTAAAAAATAAAAAATAATTTGCGTTTTTTTAAACAAACAAAAAAACGTTGATTTGGCATGAACCACTGCTAGTAGTTTAAAAAAAAAGCAGCTATTTTTTATTAAAATATTGAATAACTCGATTACTGTTGATTGTAGAGGAATAAGACTGGTCTCATTTTATTCCTCATCAATTTCTCTAAAAATAATACGCCTCTTGTCTCGATCTCCGATGCGTTGTTCTCGAGACAGTAAATGAAAATGCGCAATGCAAGCAAGTAGATTCTCTCACAGAGAGAAAGTAAAGAAGAGAGAGTGTAAGATGCGACTAACGGTTTCTGGTAACGTATGCTTTTACTCGTTAAAACCTTCTTGCCCATTGCTTGCAATAACGTTAAAAACATGGTAACGTTACTTTTGTTCTGCGCATGTAAGCGATACTTAAAAAATTACAATATTCAAATTTACGTTACTTCAGTTGTTCCTGAAGTAACATTTTGAATATCGTTATTTTTTGTTATATATATCGGTAAAATAAATCGTTACCAGTCATTTTAACGTTACAGTTATGCATAATTTTACCGATAAAGGAATATAGCAGTCCTAACATTATTTACCGATATTGGTAACGAATTTGTGACGTTCAATTAAAAAGAGGTAGACGTTTAGTAACCACTAGCTGACCCGCGCAACTTCGTCTGCGTCTCTCAATAGTAATAAATTTTCTCCGTTTTTGAAACATTCTTCATTGGTGCTCCGCTCCTATTGGTCTTAGCGTAATGATATATAGCCTATAGCCTTCCTCGATAAATGGGCTATCTAACACTGAAATATTTTTTTAAATCGGACCAGTAGTTCCTGAGATTAGCGCGTTCAAACAAACAAACAAACAAACAAACAAACAAACTCTTCAGCTTTATAATATTAGTATAGATTACTACATAGTAGCGGCACGGCGGTTAGTCCTTTTATTGAACAATAGCAGCAAGTTATATCACCAATCAAAAGTATGTACCGGAGATCTTTTTTCGACTTCATTCTACAATAAAACTTCACAATACGAGTTAATAAGCTAGCAAGCTGATTAGTTATGCTACCTAAGAGATATCGTTGTAATATAGTTCTGTTACTTATTTACCTCGAGAAATGAGTTATAGTTGTGTTATAATAGCCTTCTGTTACTGACTATCGTTATAAATACCCTTATTCAACGTTACTTTAAGTGTGAAATAGTATCGTTATCAAGTATTTGACGTGGTAATTAAACTTCGTTCCAAGATTTAATATTTTTTTTTACTGGAAATAGACATTGTTTTCTAATATTTTACTTACCTATTAAAAGATGTAGAAAGTGTAAGTACTTGTAGGTAGTTTATCTCGAAAAGCCTGTACTGTAAACGATACGACTGAATCACCCTACTGGGATGGCGTTAAACATTTTTGTTTGTTAACGACACCACTGCTGAATAGTGATGTATAACGTGAAATAAAACAATTCGTGATGTGTCAATTTTTAATGACAATGTTGAAAATGGTTAAGTTTACAAGGAATTCGTAAAACACAATAATTGTATATATTGCAAAAACAAAAAAAAAATTAAACACTTGATCCGATATTATCCAATAACTGTTTATTTTTTTCACCGTATCTTTGTTTCACTTCAGCTGCTATCTTTAAAGGAACTTCTGCAAAAGCTTTTTTAAAATGGTTATGGTCGTGATCTTACGAATGGAAAATATAGCTTAATACTTCCTTACAGAGGTGACGTTACAAAAAAAATAATGTAAACGACACCCCAGTGGTGTGGTTTGGTGGTGTCGTTTACAATACACGTTGAAAAGTAGTTATGATATTATATACGAAGAAAATATCGATTAATCGCGATTTAAAATACACACACTGTTACAAAATCTTGTGAATTACCCGACGTCATATCGTAATGCACTCCTTGTGATCACCGGTGGATTGTAAGGCAAGAATTACACATCTATTTAATATGTATAAAAGTTTTTAAAAATTAAAGATAAATAATAAAAATAAAATAAGAGTTATTAAATACCATTTGCCATCTTGAATTTTCAATCAATGTTTTTTAGGTTTCTATTACCTAGTGTTATGCTTAAATTTCTTTTTTGTCATTTAGTTTAAGGTTCTAAAAAGGATACAGGCTGTAAACTATAACGAAATAATGTCTAAAAAACCCAGGCAGTTAAAACGCAGAGAATGACTATCGGCGCGGGAACTTTTATTGCGCGATGTAGAATTAGTAGGTATTTCTAGGTTTGGTGCGCCTTCGTTAGATGGCATTGAAGTATGTTTTTCCTTGTATGTGAAAGACGGTACACTACTAATTTCTAATACATTATCCGCCGTTATTCATAACGGTAGTAGATAAGTATAAAATTATACGTATAGTCAGACAGATCTATTAGGCTTAGTAATAAAACTGTGTAATTAATTATAAGTAAAGCTGAATTTTATGGAACGAATTTAATATTTAAAAAATAATAAGATAAATTCAAAGCATAATATTTGGCTTAAACCAACTACATAATTTATTGTCATTTTTCACTCAGTGTGCCTATTATGTCTAATGGTAATTTGCCGATTCAAGCCACAAATAGATTCGTCCACTTCGTCACTTCCTGTGCCTCTCGTTTGATACTGGCATAAATAGGATCACGACGGACTACATCTTCGTTAGAAGAGCAAATGTGGTATGCCAGAAAACCGTTAAATAAATTTTACATTCATACTTCTGAAGAAACTGCTCCTAATTCTTGCTCTTTGATTCTGTTTTTTTTTTTAAATAGGATGTGATTTATTTATGAGGACGATGGGTTTTTGTTATCGAAGTGAAGAGCAAGAAGTAGAAAGAGTTTGTTTTGATAGAAAAGGCTGTTCCCTACTCTAGCAATACGAACCATCTAGTCCCAAGCGTTTCTACAAAGTCAGAGATCATAAGGAAGCGATTTATGTAACAAAAAAGTATTACGGTCTTATTTACTAAAGTAGAATAACTACAGTTTGTGTTAAATCTTAATTAAGATAAGTCGTTTTCTGACCAGGTACTCACTGATTTCCTGTTGGTAAATACCGTGTCATTTACTTATTGAACGAATAAAATTGCTTTGTCAAAGGTCATTCTCGCTTCACCCACGAATAATGTTGTAAATTATTTCATTTTCCGACAATTCTGCCTAACAATGGGCGCTCTGTGATTTGTTGCTTGTTGTACATCATGTTGTTGTACATCAGTACATGTTATGATAAACGTTGGTTCCAAATCGATCGTTCTAGATTTCTTGGTACGGACGTCGCGATAGGCATTAGCAAGTAAAGTTTGTACATAGGTATAACTAAAATTTCGTACGTAATTATAATACGCTTTTTAGTTTTCCTGTAGGTAAACTGTAGGTACTAAACTAACCCTATTAAGGTCATACATAAAATAGTGAATATCATTGTCGTCTAAAATATTAACATCCTCGTATCACGGTGTTTGTGGTCGCACTCCTTGTCCTTGGCCCTTTCGTCTCCCTGTATTTTTATGTATGAGAATAGGTGGTAAAGTTTTTTCATCCTCCTACACCCACCTCCATTTTTTCATCGCAATTTTTAAATGGCAGAACAACGTTTGCCAGGTCAGCCGTCCGGGTGAAACGTGTGAAGTCATAATAAAAAAAACATATCAGTAATATTTATATATTATCTTGTCAGATACTGATATCAAAGACACCACAAATTGTAATTCTGATAATGACGAATA